GGCTGCCCCAGGGCCGGAGCCGACCCACTGGAATCCCCCGACGCCCCCCAGCTGGTGCTGCCCGCCAACATCGGAGACATTGAGGTGCTCAACCTGGGGAACAACGGCCTGGAGGAGGTGCCGGACGGCCTAGGGTCAGCGCTGGGCAGCCTTCGCGTCTTGATCCTGCGCAGGAACCGCTTCGCCCGGTTGCCCCCTGCGGTGGCTGAGCTTGGCCACCACCTCACCGAACTTGACCTGAGTCACAACCGGCTAACCGCCCTGGGCACGGAGGTTGTGAGTGCCCTAAGGGAGCTGCGCAAGCTCAACCTCAGCCACAACCAGCTGCCCTGCCTGCCCACCCAGCTGGGAGCCCTCGCCCACCTGGAGGAGCTGGACGTCAGCTTCAACCGGCTGGCGCACCTCCCTGACTCCCTCTCCTGCCTCCACCGCCTGCGTACCCTCGACGTGGACCACAACCAGCTCACTGCCTTTCCTCGGCAGCTGCTGCAGCTAGCGGCCCTGGAGGAGCTGGACGTGTCCAGCAACCGGCTGCGAGGCCTACCTGAGGATATCAGTGCCCTGCGTGCCCTCAAGATCCTCTGGCTGAGTGGGGCTGAGCTGGGCACCCTGCCCAATGGCTTCTGCCAGCTGACCAGTTTGGAGAGCCTCATGCTAGACAACAACGGGCTGCAGGCTCTGCCTGAACAGTTCAGCCACCTTCAGCGGCTCAAAATGCTCAACCTCTCTTCCAATCTCTTTGAGGAGTTCCCTGCTGCGCTGCTGCCCCTGGCTGGTATGGAGGAGCTCTACCTTAGTCGAAACCAGCTCACCTCAGTGCCATCTCTTATCTCGGGGCTGGGCCGGCTTCTTACTTTGTGGCTGGATAATAACCGCATCCGCTACCTGCCAGACTCCATTGTGGAGCTGACTGGGCTGGAGGAGCTGGTGTTGCAAGGGAACCAGATCGCTGTGCTGCCTGACAACTTTGGCCAGCTCTCCCGGGTGGGCCTGTGGAAGATCAAGGACAACCCACTGATCCAGCCACCCTACGAGGTCTGCATGAAGGGGATCCCCTACATTGCCGCCTACCAGAAGGAGCTGGCTCATTCACAGCCTGCAGTGCAGCCACGCCTCAAGCTGCTCCTCATGGGCCACAAGGCTTCAGGGAAGACCTTGCTCCGGCACTGTCTCACGGAGGAGAGGGTAGGGGGAAGCCAAGGAGGAGCGGACAAGGAGAAGAGTTACTCACCTTCTCCTCCCCCTGGGAGCAAGGGCATCGAGGTGACTAGCTGGACTGCCGATGCTTCCCGGGGCCTGCGGTTCATCGTGTATGACTTAGCTGGTGATGAAAGTTATGAAGTGATCCAGCCCTTTTTCCTCTCCCCAGGGGCCCTGTATGTGCTGGTGGTCAACTTGGCCACCTATGAACCATGCTTCTTTCCCACCACTGTGGGCTCCTTCTTGCATCGGGTAGGGGCTCGGGTGCCTCATGCTGTGGTGTGCATTGTGGGCACACACGCTGACCTGTGTGCAGAGCGGGAGCTGGAGGAGAAGTGTCTGGACATTCACCGCCAGATTGCACTGCAGGAGAAGCACGATGCAGAGGGCCTGAACCGTCTAGCCCAGGTGGTGGATGAGGCCTTGGCCCGGGATTTCGAGTTGCGCTCTGCCAGCCCCCATGCAGCCTACTATGGTGTTTCAGACAAGAACCTTCGGCGGCGTAAGGCTCATTTTCAGTACCTGCTTAACCACCGGCTGCAGATCCTCTCACCCGTGTTGCCTGTTAGCTGCTGGGATCCCCGCCTATTGCAACGTCTTCGGGACAAGCTGCTCTCAGTAGCTGAGCACCGAGAAATCTTCCCCAACTTACACAGAGTTCTGCCTCGGTCCTGGCAGGTGCTGGAGGAACTGCATTTCCAGCCCCCGCAGGCACAACGACTTTGGCTAAGCTGGTGGGACTCAGCGCGCCTGGGCCTCCAGGCGGGTCTGACCGAGGACCGGCTGCAGAGTGCTCTTTCTTATTTGCATGAGAGCGGCAAGCTGCTCTACTTTGAGGACAGCCCGGCTCTCAAGGAGCACGTCTTCCACAACCTCACCCGCCTCATCGACATCCTCAATGTCTTTTTCCAGAGGGATGCTTCCTTGCTGCTGCATAAACTACTCCTGGGGACCAATGGAGAGGGTGAGGCTGAGGGGGAAAGTTTCCCTGCTATGGCGCTGCCCACCCCGAACCAGGATGTGCTCCGGGCCACCCAGCTTCATCATTATGTGGAGGGCTTTCTGCTGCATGGGCTCCTGCCAGCCCATGTCATTCGGTTGCTGCTCAAGCCTCATGTCCAGGCCCAACAGGACCTGCAGCTGCTGCTGGAGCTGCTAGAGAAGATGGGACTCTGTTACTGTCTCAATAAACCCAAGGGCAAGCCTTTGAATGGCTCAACAGCTTGGTACAAGTTCCCATGCTATGTGCAAAATGAGGTGCCCCATGCAGAGGCCTGGATTAATGGGACCAACCTAGCTGGCCAGTCTTTTGTGGCTGAGCAGTTACAGATCGAATATAGTTTCCCCTTTACCTTTCCACCTGGGTTGTTTGCACGCTACAGTGTCCAGATAAACAGCCATGTGGTGCACAGGTCGGATGGTAAATTTCAGATCTTTGCATATAGAGGGAAAGTTCCTGTGGTGGTGAGTTACAGACCTGCCAAGGGGGTCCTACAGCCAGACACTCTGTCTATTGCTAGCCATGCATCATTACCAAATATATGGACCGCATGGCAAGCCATCACCCCATTGGTAGAGGAACTGAATGTCTTGCTTCAGGAATGGCCTGGACTGCACTACACTGTGCACATCCTCTGTTCTAAGTGCCTTAAGAGAGGATCGCCCAATCCACACGCTTTCCCAGGTAAGTGAAGAGGGTCTCGTTTTCTACTGTGGTGTGTTTCAGGTTGCAGTTTTGGTGACATTTGTTTCTCGTTTGGCAGAATGTTTACTTAAGCTTATAGGTGCTCCAGGAAAGTTCTTCAGCATAGAGATGTGGGAGCAAGCAAAAGGCAAGTGTTGTCTTCTTCTAATGGGAAGATTGGGACTTCCATAGTCAAAACATCCTATCCCCTTTTCCCTCTTCTCAAATTATCCACATTTGTGGAAGGAAATTTTAGGTGGCAGAGCAGAAAACCTGTGACCTGTGTGACATTAGTCAGTTGCTGGCCTTGGCTATGATGTAAATTAGACACAGGTGGAAGGAAGGAGCCTGAGTTTTAAGTGTCTCGTGTCATGTTCTTTTGTTTAAATTCAGAGTGTAATCATCAAGTCAAAGTTATGGTTCATTTTTCCTGAGAATTCCAGAGAAGATTGTTCTGTAATTGGGTGAATGGCTGATGAGTAAAGACAAACATTTCAGACTGTAATGCATGACTAAATCCTTGGACTGCAGTTTCACCCAGCATACTAGGGCATGGAGGATGCATCTGAAGTCTCTGAGGGAGTTTCCTTGGGGATTTCCTGACAAGTCTGAGGCTTTATAGACATCTTAAGGTTTGTTCCTTGGTAAATGTTCAGAGTTGGAGCTTTCTGGCCACAGTTTATAAGAGATGGAAGGGACAAAAAGCTGACAAAAGTCCCCTGGGGAGTGATTTCCAACACACTTGTTTCTTTTTTCTTTTTTAAAAAAACATATGTAAGTGGGAGAATTCCAGGACTAGTTGTCTGGAATGTTTTTGAGACTGTTTTTTAAAGAGTAATTTTAGTTTTATGGCCAAATTGAATAGAGGGTATGGAGATATTCCATATACGCCCCCAAACCCACTCCACACATAAATACCCTGCCCTTATCTGCACCCTGCACCAGAGTGGTACCTATGTTCCAATCCTTGAGCCTGTGTCAGACTTCATGATTCACATTAGAGTTCACTCTTTTTCGTCAGTATTTTGTGAGTTTGCACAAATGTATAACAGCATATATCCACCATTGTAGTATCATACCTAGTAGTTTCAGTCTCCTAAAAAATCTTGTGTGCTTCACCAGTTTATCTTATCCCAAGTTCTTGCAAACAATGATATTTTTACTGTCTCCATATTTTTACCTTTTCTTTGTCTGGAATTTCTTGAGTCTCTTTAATTAGTCTCAAGCAGGTCTTTCGGTGAGAATTCTTTCTTCATCCTTTGTGATTAGTGATTTTTGTAGAGCTGGTTTGTTTAGTAGCTTTCTAAGTGTCCCAAGCACAAAGCCTGAAACAATAGTATCATTGCCATTGTACACCCAGGTCCCCCACCCCCAGGGTACATCGAGGGGCATGAAATGGAAGACTGAATGCCAGTTTAATCTTTGTCCTCGTCTAAGTACAAGAATGTAAAACCTAATAGTATCAGGAAGGAATTGGATACCAATATTTCCGAGGGCAACATCTTTCCGTTGCCCTAGATCTAGGGTGAGTTTAATTCTTTAGCTTGAAAAAAGCCAGTGTATTGAGTTACCAGTCAACTGAGCCATCCATTCTGTGTGATTATCTGGTGTCTTGTCAGACACAGTCTGTGACTTGGTGGACTCTTCAGTTTGGTTTATATTTGCTACTGTATTTTATTCATGGAAGCAAAATACTTTATTGTATCACTAAGTTGTATAAAGTGTGGTATGAAACAGCTACTTAAAACCCATTCCTAATCCAGAGAAAGAACATTAATAAAATTAGTGTTAACCGCACAGGGAAAGACAAGGTTATTGAACAAGTAAAGTTCTCTGCAGGGAAAGTGTAAGAACTTTCAGAAGTAAACAGTGAGTCTGGAATTTTCTTCTAGCCCTAGCTCTTTATTTTTGATTTGTAGCAGTCATAAATTCCACAAAGAAGCTTGTACTGAGATGCAGAAACGAGCCGATTCTGGTTATTGTTTTTGCCATTTGTATTTCCAAAGGGACACACCTGGTTGGCAGTCCAGATTATGAGGAAGAGATTATTTTTTTCAATGTGTGAAACAAAAACAAGGTTGAAAAATGGCAAAATCTTACACAGTGTATTGAATAGGAGTAATTCATAAGGATATGAATGTCATTTATAATCAGAAGGCTACCTTTTCTATTTGTTTAGGATTGTATTTTTTTCTAAAAGTAAAAGGGTTTAGAATCGTGGAAAAAGGTCATTACATCATTTTTAATTCTTTTATGAAGACAAGGGGAAACGTTTTCTTTTTTTTATATATTTATTGTGATAGCTGTCATTTTTAAGTATAGTCATAATTTGGAGTGAGATGGTAAGAGCTAAAACACTAAAAGCTACTGCAGAACCTGATGAGGGCACAATTATATTGGATGTTCAGTTAGGGTATACCTTAAAAATCCGTTTTGTCAGTGCCGAGATCGTTAAAACACTTTAACAGAAACTTAAATCTATCGGTATCTTTTTGTCTTTTTAAGACATCGTTTTGCTTTTAGGGACACAAAATTGGTTACTAAATTTTACATTCAATTAAAGTATGATGTTCTATAAACTATAAACATTTTATAATGTTGAGAAAACTGGATTTGTAGTTTTTTTCAACTTTGGGGCATTAGATAGTAAACAATAATCTCCCTTGAGATTATTTAGAAGAAACATAAAGTTGCTTTAGTATCTTTTAAAATGCTTTTATGGGAAAAGCCTAGCTTGGCCCTGTCTTGAACTTTCTGGCCTGAACTGCATTTATATAGTTGGCTGAGGGAACTGTTAATGCTAGATTTTTCTTATTTTAGTTTTTGAAATACACTATTTTGGAAAATTCTCATTCAGCAGCCATCGATTTTAAAAGTTCGTGTAGAAAAGATCGTAACACACTGTCAATTACTTGCCTGTCTTATTTAAGACAGTTGGGTTGAGTGACAGGAGATTCTTTGGGAAACGAAAAGCAGGTCTGTGATGATGCATAAGTGTCCCCATGAAAGTCATGCCGCCATTGTGGATCCTGACTACCGCCTGCATCCCAAAGCCAGACTGCCCTTCCTTTTGCTCCTTTTCTGCTCATGACTGGTCCCATGTTCTTGTCCAAAGAGCGTGTTTCTTCTTGTGGGATATTTATGATTTCATTTTATTCTGCCACTGTGACATTTAAACTGGGAAACTCCTTGAAGTGGGACAGTGTATTAAGATTTGGTTTCCAGGACCTTGGCCCACAGCAAGATTCTAGTGCTTTGATATTCCATTTCAGCAAAAGAATGAATCCTATGTTTTTAAATTGGAAGAGTGTCTTAGAGACTCCAACTTGTATTGAATGTGAATTTTCACTAGGTAGCCTACCTTCCAGAGTCTTCCAGGTCAACTTTAGAAATAACAAGAAAGCAACCTAAATCAGTACATTGAATTATTTATTTAGTTTTAACTTTATTTTCTCCTGTTCACTTAGTAATACAATGCTTTTATCCCCTGCCAAGTGCTTTCACCTCTTCAGTTTTCCGCACACCTGAGATAGCTGTCTGATTTCGTTCAGGGTACTTTGTCTTGTTTCTTTGCCATTTATGAGTGTCATGCTATCTCTTTGCTTAGATGGTTCACTGGCTTCCTCTAAGCAGGGAGACACGCCTGAGGCTTTGTAGTCTCTGAGAGAGTCAAATGTTTGCTGAGTGACTGTGTGGTCTTTGTGAGAAATATCTTTGTTATTTTCATGCTATTTCAAATTCCCAGGTAGTGCCATATTGGTAATCTTGCCTTGCTCTGCTTTTCCCCACCCCCAGTGTTGCTCTAGCCTTCTCTTTGTGCATGTATTACTGGTCCTGCTCTTGAATGGGTCCTTCATTTTGACCATTGAAGCAAAGCAAAATTCTTGCCTTATTATATCTAAGTTTTAGAATTACTGTAATTTGAGCATGACCTAGTTGTTTGGATTGAATTAATCACTGCTTTTAATTTCACAGAAGTTATTCAATATCTTTTTTGTTTAGCTTTATTAATATTGATGCCCCTTGGCTTTTATTTTTGAGAATAAGACTCTGAACTCCCTGGGGCTTTGTTTCACATAAAATTAAAAAACCTTAATCATACTGTGGAATAAAAATGTATTGTGTGCAATTTAAAGATCGGAAAGGTCTTGAGAGTGTTTCGATTATTTTAGGTACAGTATTAGGTGCTTCTTTACATGTAGACTAGGATCTCAAGTCCTTCCCTGAACAGGTGGTTTATAATTTCCTAAAGTGTATTTAATTTGTTATTAGTGGACATATTATGTCACAGTTGCTGCCTGTGCCTTTTACTCCCCAGTAAACCTGGCCTATTTCAGTTCTTACTTGTTTACTTCGTCTTAACACCTGGACCAATTATAAAGTGTGCTTCACAGGGCTGTTTTGGGGACTGGGAGGGAATGATTTAGAAAGCAGTTCTTCCTCCATTTCTGGGGAAAAAGTGAGAGGCTTTCCACGTTACACAGAAGAGGATACATGGGGAAAGGCTCTATCCACTTTCTGTAGTTTTCTTCTCTCCCCTGGAGACTGTGTTGGTTAAGAACCTGACCATCCATTCTTTAGGGTGCTTGTTGTCTTTCCGAGACGAGGGGAAGGTGGTTGCCTGGTCTTTGTCTCAGTGGTGCTCCTGTGCCTAGGGTTGGAGAGCTGCTCTACAATCCTATCTCCATAGTGAATGTACCAAGTAGGGTCTGTGTGGGGCAGGCCCAGCCCAGTCTCAGGTCTTCCTGGTTTCCCTATTCTGATTGCAAAGCCAGTCGCCGGGTGGTCATCAATTTACTTTCCTGTGGGTCTGAAGATCCTCACCTCAGTGAGGAGGGATTAGGCACCCCTGCTACAGCCTGGTTCATTCTTCAGTGCTGCTGTGGCATTGAGGAAGCTGGCCCTGTCACCACCCGGAGTGATTGGCGAGCATCCTGACAACCACAGAGAACCTGTGACTTTGAGTTGTTACTGATTACGAGGACCCTGAAGACCCCGTT